GATGATAGTCCTCCCGCCTCCCCCGTCCCCATTCCTACCACTTCTGCCTCTCCACACCCAACTCCCCGGGCCACCACGTCTACTATCCATGGCGACCAAGGCCTAAGGGATATTAAAGAAGGACTGCCCAGTCCGAACCTTACCTAAACCAACTCTCCAGAGGCCACTCTTCAGGTCTCTGGACAAGATGAAGCCGAGGAACCCCATCATCCATCGCCTCCCTATCACACAGAGTGGTGATGAAGATATAAGGGCCCCTTTTCCTCAGGGTCCGACACTTTACACACACTCAGAAGCATTTGTTGCTTCTGAATTTGAGTTTTAGTAAATTGTTTAGAGCGATCTCCTCTTCGTGCACGCACCCCCTCGATACTTCATCTATAAACGTGGAAACATACGTACTTCTCTTCACCGGACTCTGAATCCGATGAGGATGAAGCACCTATCGAAACATCCGGATAGCTCTTCTTTAGAGGGCTATCAAGGACGGGATGGAAGTCCTCCCTTGCCCAACATTCCCACAGGCATCCGTTGCCGTAGTGGTTATCCCACAACTGAGTTGGTCACAAAGGCCGAGTTTCTAGCCTTTGCCGACTCAATTCAGCGGTCCTTGGAAGACCTAAAAATCACCATTGTGAGGGTTGCTGAATCCACCCCCACCCAAGATATCACCCATCTTTAGCAATCCATCACCTCCCTTGAAGCTCAATCGAGGGAGAACACCACCCGACTTCAATCCCTACAACGTCTGGTGACCCAAAAACACAACTACCATAACAACCTTATGCTCACCAAACTTGATTCCGTCGATGCATCCCTCGCCTCACGATCTGCCTAATTAATAGCCACCGATGCATCAATAGCCACCCTCTCATCCCAGCTATCCTCCATCACTACCTCCATCGCCTCTCTCCCCACCATCATCCATAATATCATCCCACCACCCACAGCCCCCTCTTCCTCTGCAGCACCCATTGCAAATGAAGCCTTTACATCTTTTGCTATAGAGATAAGAGATCTCATATCTTCCATCTCCATACCATCAGCTTCCACCACCACTCCCTCACCAAGGCACTAATCTCGAAGTTCAATGAGATTAATGCCAAGTTCATCACCAAAGCCGCCGAGCCAACCGCCACACTTCAGAAAAGGCTCGCTCAGCAACAAGAGCAAACCAACACACTTCTTCAGCGCAGGGAAGACGATTGATGGAGGATGGCTTTCAGATGTATGCCGCCTCACTTCAAAAGAAAATGAAGCGACCTACTTCTTGCTCTGCGGGGAGGCCATCCAAGCGCCCGAGGCATGAAGACCAAGACCCCGATGATCAAGTTCTAGGTCCTCATGAGGGGGAGACTTCATCACACCAATGGACATCAGCACCATCTCCATCAGCACAAGCTCCAACTTCACAACCACTTACTGGAACAGAAGCAAGGGAACCAGAGGCTCAACCCTCTGATGATGTAAATAATGTAAATACTTTAAATTTTCCATCAATTATTTTTGCAGCATCAACCTCTCATCCAGTAGCAGGCATTGTAACCCCTGTAACCAAAGTTGTACCCTTAGCCGAAGTACCACTTCCCTCATCTGATCCCTCATCAACTACCCATCACCACCAACAGATGAATCCTCACCAATACTAGTGAGCTCTTCATCACCTCCCCAAACACAACCTTCAACCACACCAACACCCATACAACCAGAAGCTCTAATTCCCTTCACTGCATCAACAACACCACCTTCATCACCAGTATATCCAGAAACTACCCAACTAGAACCTGCCACCATTTAACTAGAAACTACCCAAACAGAACCATCCCTCACCCAACTAGAACCACCTCTTACCCATACAGAACCATCCTTCACCCAACCAAAACCACCCGTCACCCAACCTATAAAGCCAACAGTACCTACAAATGTTTCCTCCTCTTCAAGGCAGCTTTCATCCATCGGTAGAGTGCAGGAAGTCATCGTTTAGACGGAAACGCTAAGGAGACGTTCGGAGATGCCATCTAAAGAACCCATCATGATGGAGAACATTCACCAATACCTCTACCACCATCGCAATTAGAAAATTGTTCTAAATCCCCCAAACCTGTCTCTAGAGTCTATGGACTTAATTAGACACAGGTTCATGAGGCAGATGACCCAACCACCACATGTTGTCTTCTCAAATGATGGAATAAAGACGGCTCATGATATCAAGCTATGGACCTTTGCAAACAAAGTCATCAAGCACATCAATTACACCGTGGAACATGCTCTTGGGATGATCTACGTCTTTAATGATAATGATTTAATAAATCTCAATCCATGGGACATGATTGACTTTTATATCCATACGACTCAGTGTCAGGACCATGGGATAAGGTATGGGATGGCACAAAGAGCAATTGTAGAGACGATGAGAACTTTGGTAAAGTTCAAAGCGAAGATTGATTTCCAGATTGCTCTAGAGCATGGCATTGAAAAACTCTCCTGCACGGCTCCAAAAGAAGACTTTCTTGGACTACAAGAGAAGCGTTCTTCCTCTATCTTGGCTCAAATAGAACTTTTCTTAGTCTTCAACAATGAGTTCGGTACCAAGAAGTTCTTCAGACTGATTGAGGTCTTCAAGTATTCAACCGATACGCTTGAATGGTTTCAAAAAGTCATTGAAGAGAGACTAGGCAAAGACTATGTGCTAGGAAGAGAGTGACAAGAGGTAATTCACAGGATCTCCACAACCATAAGGTATAGAAGATGGATGATGTATTTTTAGAGAATCTTCAATCGAGACCATGAATAAGATGTAATTTTTCTTTCCCTTACTTTTACTTTCGTACTGTATGAAACAATCCATTTTCGTAAATGAAAGCTTTTGACAAAAAGGATGTTTCTACTAGATTAGCCTTGTGTACATAGATAGTTATTTGTTAATAATTCATAGATAGCTATTTTTTATTTTTTATTTCTTAGGGGGAGATTGTTAGACCCCATAATTCCTATGTGTAATAGTAATGAAAAATGCACAAGCATGGAAGTCTGGAGACCCGATGGAAGACAAAGCTGAGAAGATTCTAAGTGCTGAAGACAAACCAGAAACGTTATGAAAGGTCCAGGGGTGCTGTGAAGACCTTAAGCACTTAACCTGATAATCATCTACTTATGAAGAAGTTCATCAGGTCGATGAACTAGCAACTCCATAACACATCTGGTTTACAGCAACTAAAAGAATGATCAAGTGTTAGTTCAATCAGATATACTCTTGTCAAGCAGATATGTGAAGAATCCCGATTGAACATATTACCTAGAGACAGTTGGAGGTGACTCATCGCCAGCTTGAATTATGTTACGCCAGGTAGTTAGAGATAACTCCCAACTTTCTAGATAGATATCTTCTGCTTGTTTATCTCATAGGTATCTTATACTAGATTGTTATCTCTTAGACTAGATTGCTAATATAAATAGCATTCATATGTCTTGTGTCAAAAGTAATCCTTCTCATTATCATTATTATAGTGAAATTACTTGAAAGTTTTACTTTTTCTTGAATATCATTAAAGTTGTTCTTCACTTTCTTCATTGATACGATAGATTTAGGTTCTCAAACATAAATCTTTGTGTTACATTGAGAGATCTGGGGTCAACACATTGGTCCACATAAATCCATGTGAATCATTGCAAGTGGAGATTTACAACATGAAGCTAATTTTGCTTTATGCGAAGATCTTGTAATCTTTCCCATTTCACATGTCGAACACAATGAGTTCTTATTAGATCTAAGTTCAAGCAGACCAATGACCAAATCACTGCTTACAAGTCAATTAATATATCTGAAGTTCTGATGAGATAATCTTCTATGCTATGTCCAATTGTCTTCTTTTGATGCTTTAGCAATTAAGAAAACTGGTTTAGAAGCAGTTAGAGTTGGAAAATTAATTGCATAAAGATTACCATAGCGTTCAACTCTTATCACCTCTATCCCTTTAGAGTCAATAATCACACAACCATTTACAAAGAATTTTACATCAAACCCATTATCACAGAAATAACTTATGCTTAAAATATTATGCTTTAAACCCTGAGCATAGAAAACTTTCTTAATCGTGAAACTGCCATTTGACAATGTTCTGTATCCTCTCACAAATCCTTTCTCTTTATTACCAAATGTGACTATTCCGCCAGAATTTTCTTTAAAATTAGATAGAAGATGCATGTGTCCTGTCATGTGTCTTGAACATCCTGAGTCTACGTACCACACATGACAATCCTGCAAAAACAATCACGGAGATTTAGGTACCCATTTCCAAAATGGGTTCTTTTGAGTTAGAAATAACATTTGAAGATAAAGATTTAACGCACCACTCGTATTTCTCCTTTGGAATCCATTTCCAAACAAATCTAACATCTAAAAAACATGGCTCCTCCTTTTTCAGTTTTGAAACTTTTTTCTTGAAAGCACTTTTCTTTTGAACATCAGGAGGACCATTGAAAACTTTTGCTCTGAGCGAGGTCTTTGATTTAGAATCAGAAATCTTTGACCCTAATGACTTTTTGCATTTGGCGTTAACTGCAAGGGAGTTTGACTCACAATAATTGCAATGTATATGATGCTTAACAACAGAAATAAGATCCGGATGAGAATTTTTTTTAACATTCTTAAGATCCGCATCCAAATTACAGTTCAAGTTCACAAATTTAGAATTGCAACTATTTTTATTCACAGAGAAATTCTTTACAGAAGATGAATTACTTGAAACATTTTTCTCAATCTTCTGCCAAGACTTCTGCTTGCAGTCTTTTCCAATCTTTAAAAGTTCTGCAACAAAAAAAGATTTTGGGTTAGTCGAGCGCTTCGCAGATAAAGATTCATATTTAATTGATTTTGCATTTTGAACAGATTTGACGGTTTTAGGAGTAGCCTTAGAAAAAATTTCAGATTTAGTTTTAGAAGGCTCCCCTTTCTCAAACTTACTTTCAGAAAGATTAATTTTATCAATAACAGTTGTTTTTTATTTAGAGACATTCTGAGCAGCTTCTGAATTTTTGGCAAATGATCTTGAAGCTGTTTTGAGATCTTCCTCAAGCTTAATGATTTTACTCATAAGCTTAGTCCTTTCATCATAACACGAATTTAATTCTTTTTCCAAATCTAAAATCTTTTTCAAATTGGACGCAAGCAAATTATCTTTACTGAGAACAAGCAAGGTCAATTTCGAAAATTTTCTTTCAAAGTCTTTTGATTTGGATAGAAAATCATTTTCAGCTTTAATATTTAAACATTTTTCCACACGAAGTTCATCTTCAAGATCAGAAATCTTTTTCAAATTCAAATCAAATTCAGGATTTGGATGTACTTTCCAATCTTGATCAGTACTTTCTTCCATATTGTTTGAATCATAAATCACCTATGTTTCTAACTCAGAATCAGACTCGTTTAAAATGTTTTCGAATGATTCAGGATTCAATGATTCGATGAACTCGGAAAGTATTTCAGAATTCGTTTTAGATGATTCAAAAAAAATGAAGTTTGATATTGAACTCTTTTAGTTGGATATACTGAATCAAGTTCAGTATGTGAAAATATGGTTTCTCTAGTTTCATAACTCGAGTTAAGATCATCATATTTCATTCCAACTGTTTTAAAATTTAACTTTTCAAAAGATTCTTCATCAATTTTATCATTATCATTCTTATCAAACATATGTGATTCATTTTCAGATTTGACAAAGATTTCATTCACAGTAGGAATTGCAAATTTTGCCAACCCTCTTTTATCAAAATCGTACAAAGATTGAGGGGCGTTTTTCAAAGTATCATTTTAAGTAAAACCCAAACCCATTTGAGAATTATAAAAACGAGTATCTTTTGGGTTCTTTGTCAATAGTTTTAGTGGTTGCTCAGACTGGCCTCTTTTATAGTTAATATCCTCAAACTGTTAATTTCATCATAGAGCTTCAATCTTTCAGCAAAAATACATCAAATCTCAGCTATATATCATCACGCTCACACTCAACATTACTTAATTTCTTTTTCAGCAACATATATTCATTTTCAAGTTTAGCCTTTTCTTATTTTAGAATTTCTTTTTCTTGTCTTAGACCCTCACTCAAGCATTTAAAACCGCAACTTTCTTCTCGAATTTTCAACATTAAATTCCTTTCACCTTTTAGCCTATCTTTTAAAACTTTAAACTCATAGTTCATATTTTCAATTTTCTTCATGAGTTCAACATTTACCGAATTTACCTCATTCTTATTCTCAGATGATGAGCCTTCGACTTCAGTTATTGAGATTAAGCACATGTTTACCTGGGTAATATGAGCAGCTTCATCATCTAATGAGTCAATCAGATAGCTTTCATCTTCAGCCACCAAAGACTTTCCATCCTCAAGGGCTTTTGCCAGATTAGCCTTTTTGAGATAGTAATTTAAATCTTTGAACTTCTTGAACAGACAATCTTTGAAGTAGTGACCAGGCTTTCCACAATTAAACCATCTGCTCAATTCAGGTTGAGCATCCATATGATCTCTGGCTTTCCCAAACTTTTCAGGCTTCACCTCCTTTCCCTTACTCTTCTCAAACTTAACAAACTTCTTCTTCTTCCCGAACCTCTTCTGGGACTTCTGTGTCAGCAAAGCAAGTTTCTTGGAGAACTCTCTAATTTCATCATCTGAGTCAGTAGAAGAATCATCAGTTGACTCACTCTCAGTCTGTTCAAATAACTCTGTCTTCAAAGATTTAGAGCTCTTTCTTTTTGATTTACCCTTTCCTTGCTTCCCCGATCAAAGAGCTAAGGAGTCAGCCACCTTCTTCTTTTCAATCGTTAACTCTCTCACAGTTTCCTCTTGTTCGTATAGGATACTGTAAAGATCATGAATGTCATCTTTAGACGTATTCTTGTTCATTTGCAGATTAACTGCAAGAGAGTTCCATTCCAGACTCAAATTCTTCAAAAACTTGTAGTTGATCTCAGACATGGATTTCTGAATACCATTCCTCCTCAGATCATTTAGAATAACATTGAATCTATTGTAGGATTCAGTAATGGTTTCATTCTCACGAGCCCTGAATCCTTCATAAGCACTAATGCACTGATTCATCCATGTCTGAATAGACTTTTCACTTCCTAGCATCTGCTGCTCAAACTCATCCCACAACTCTTTTACTGATCCTCTACTGTCAACTCTGTTAAAAAGTTCATTAGGAATGGCCATCAACATATAAGTCAAAGCTTTCTTGTCAATGATGACTCTCTCTTTCTCTGTTTCAGTGTAGTATTGTGGATCTTTCTATGTTTTGGAAGCAAGCACGACTATCCCATCAGCGGTAGTCTACTCAGGTAGATCCATATAACTAATGAGAGGTCCATTCTTTATTGATTCCATCATCTTTTCATCCTAATTATCAAGAAAATGAACCATTCAAACTTTCCATTGCAAGTATTCTCTAATAGCAAGAACTGGAGGCTTAGAGTCAGGACCAATACTCAACATATCTTTCGACATCTTTCAGACTTGAAAATGATCTTTTTAGAAATATAGACAAAGACTGGATTTGAAATCTTTAAGAATAATATCCCCCTCCTGTGACTTATAATGGAGGTCCCGCTACCTGGTTAGCGGGTGGGGTCAAGGGGAAACGGCCCAAGAATTTTTTTTTACGTAAGAAAATTGAAGCACCCCACTAACCTTAGAAAAAAATAGCTTCACCGGATAAGACTTCACCGATGAATAAGAAAATAACCACTATTCGGACAAATGAGTTTCCAGAAAATGAGTATCTGGACAAGGATTGAGAATGCTATCCGGACAAAGAGTATAAGCATTATTCGGAAAACAGAGAAATGCTTCACCGATCAACAAGATCTATCTAGTCATCAAGTAATAAAGGCTATACGGACAACAAAGGAACACCTCTCCGGACAAGGGTATGTCCGATGAGATAGGTATTCGGACAATGAAGTGTCTGATGAGAGCACTTGAACAAAATGAATCAATGTATCCGGACACAATTATATGGGGTCTCGAGACAAGTCAATGATCGATAACAAAGGTATCCGGACAAGACTAATCCGATCAAAACTCAAGAAATGACCGATTACAAGAACCCTTTTACACACAAATTCAGTGTCCGGAGAGAGAATCTTATCAAACGATGAATGTATTCAATGTTCGGAATGAAGAACACTTAAACCCATAAATTTAGAAATCGCTCAAAAACAGCCAAAAACTGCAATTTGATGCAATTTGCTTATACAGATCGGTTAGCAGTAGGTGCAAAAAACAAATTGAACACAACAATTACAACAAAAACAGATCAAAATGGCATGAATTGATCAAAAATGTCCAAGAACAGTAACCAATGAGTTCGAAACAAAAATTTCCAAATTCGACAACAAATCAAATTCCAAATCCAATCCTGTCAATCTAATCAAGCTTTGATAGCAATTGTGATCCCAGATTCAAGTCATAACTATCAATCTTCAAGAACACAATATGAATTTAATTTGTTGGCCAGCTTAGATTCATCAACAGTTTTGTACAAGTTCTTAATCACATACAATTTCTCTCAATCTGCGTATGAATGATTGAAACTACTAACTAATAAACAGACAACTAACTAATACCACTACTATTGAAGGAAACTAAACTAACTTTCTATTAACGAAACTACCATACAAAGCATTATAAAACATTTTAAGCACAGGGACTTGAAAACAACATTTTGTTCCAACGGATACCATAAAGAATTTGGTGACCAGAAAATCGATTATTCATTAAGGTCAAAAGGAGTATAAATATACCAAACATTTACAAGGAAATAGGAGATAAAAGAGGAGAGGATTGCTACAATTGTGGATAGACACAACGTATGGAATATATACGAAAAATCCTTTACTCCCCCTCAAGTTGGAGCATGTAAGTCTCGAATGCCAAACTTGCCAAGTAGACCTTATAATCTGTCAGTTCAAAGGGCTTTGGTGAACACTTCTGCTATCTGGTTTTTTTATGTTCACGCACATTCATTGTATGTCTCGTGACTCTATCCGTTCTCTGACGAAGTGACAGTCCATTTCCACGTGCTTAGTTCGTTCATGGAAAACCGGATTATTAGCAATGTGTCTTGCTACTTGGTTGTCGCAGAAGAGTGGTGTTGCTTTTGTGGGTGCCACTCTCAAGATTTGTAAGAGCCAACACAACCATAATATTTCACTCACTACATGTGTCATCGCTCTATATTTCGGTATAAAAATTCCTTAACCTATGGTGCCTTTGAGATAGCGCTGGACACGAGTGGCAACCTCCATGTGCCTTTGTCGAGGATCAGAAACAAACTGACTTAACATGTTAACAACATATGTGATGTCCGATCTCTTTGATTGAAGGTACAACAGTCGTCCAACCAATCTTCGATACTGGCTAGCTTCAACCCTTGGGCTATCATCACACTGATCCATTCGCATTTTTTGTTCTATGGGGAAAGAACTCAACTTGCATCCTAACATTCCACTGTCATTTAGAATGTCAAGTGTGTATTTTTGTTGGCTCAAGACTATTCCATTGGGCATTCTTTCTACTTCAATACCAAGGAATATACTTTAGTGGCCCCAAGTCTTTTATACTAAACTTCTCATTGAGGAAGTTTTTAGTTTCTTTGATTTTAGTCATACCATTTCCTGTTATGATCACGTCATCCACATAATTAAGGTCGTAACATAGTCTTCGCCCTTTTTGTATATCAATAGTGAGGCATCAGCATGTGTTTGTTTGAAGTTTAAGCTTGAAAGGGCCGCAGTGAACTTTTGGTAGTAGTTGCCTTAAGCCTATCGCAAACAATAAAGAGACTTCCTTAACCTACACACCCTGGTCTCTCCTTCCTTGGTGAAGCCCTCTGGTATTTTCATATATACTTCCTCATTGAGATCTCCATGAAAGAAAGCATTATTCACGTCAAGTTGATGGATGATCCAACTCTTCTTCGTGGCTACAGTGAGGAAAGTTCGTACAGTGACCAGTTTAGCCACAGGTGCGAATGTGTCATGGAAATCAATCCCTTCCAATTGCGTGAACCCTTTTGCCACTAATCACGCTTTATACCTCTCGACTTTCTCGTCCGGTTTGTACTTTGTTTTGTAGACCTAGTTTGAATCAATGGTACGTTTCCCATTAGGGAGTTCTTCAAGAATCCATGTTCCATTTTCTTCTAGAGCTTTTATCTTCTTTTGCATGTCTTCATTCTGTTTTTCATGTTGCACGGCCTGTCTAAAATATTTTGGCTCATCATTTGAACTGATGGCAGACAAAAAGGCTTTGTTTTGTTAAAGAAGCTTTTATAAGAGATATGATTAGCAATGGGGTGTACCGTCAAGGAATCTTGTTTGCGTGCGGTGTGTGTGGGGTCCATCGAGGGTGGCAGATTCACGACAAATTCGTCAAAGTGCTCTGGCTGTGTTCTCGCGCTCTTCTCTCTTTGGCCATAATCTTGTTGTATGGTGGGTTGGAGTTCTGACTCGGTCTCATTCACAACCTCTAGCTCCACGGTGGAGTGATTCTCATTCTGACCAACATCATTGTTTTTTTCGACCTCAACGTCATCACCACCTGGCTTCTCTTCACCAACGTCCTTTGGACTTGTGTCATCATCATATAAATTATCAAACAATTCCACCCTATCATCTTCATCTTCGTTTCTTTGTGTTTCAGCAGCCGCAAAAGGGAAAACTTGTTCGACAAACCATACATCTCTTGATGTGATGATCTTGTTTTCACCAATATTTTACACTCTATAACCCTTCTTTCCTAGCAGGTAGCCCACGAACACACTTGGTCTCCGCTTTACTTCAAACTTGTCTCCCTTTGTTTATGTGTTTCTCACATATGCGAGGCAACCAAATACCTTCATGTGCTCATAGCTTGGCTTTTGTTCGAACGGTATCATAAAGGGTGTTTTAAAACCAATCACCTTGGAAGGAAACCTGTTGATTATATAAGCGGCCATCATGACACACTCTCCCCAAAATTTGGTTGGCAGATTAGCTTCGAACTTTAAGGCTCTTGCCATCTCGAGAAGATGTCGATGTTTCCTTTCGACCACCCCGTTTTGTTGTGGGTTGTGAGGGCATGTTATCTCAAGGATAATTCCTTGTTTAGCATTAAAGGCAATCATGGAACCTGATGTAAACTCTCCCCCATTATCACTCCTTATTTTCTTGTAGTCTTTTCCAAACTGTGTTTTGACCATATTGCAAAATATGACTAGGTGACTACTGGCTTCGTACTTGTGTTTAGTAAGAAATACCCACACTGCTCTACTAAAATCATCAACAATAGTCAGAAAATAGCGTGCTCCTGAGAGAGATGGTGTACGATAGCTTCCCCAAACATCACAATGTAACAAATTAAAACACTCGCGAGTTTTAATAAAACTGTCACCAAAAGGTAAACGAGTATGTTTGGGTTTTGCACACACATCACAAACTCTGTCTTTTAACTTAAAGATAAAATATGTTAAAAAATTAACTTGATGTAACTTTGCCTCAGAGGCATGCCCCAATCTCTTGTACCAAATCTGGTGTTGTCATCAATGCCTTTTTTTCCACTGAACCCATTCGATAGAGACCCCCATCACACTGCCCCGTGCCAATCAAGCTCCTTGTCCGCAGATCCTATGCAACAAAGAAGTCAAGGAAGAAAGTTACTGCACAGTGTAGATCTTTCGTTAAACGACTAACGGATAAAAGATTGCATTAAATTTTGGGATGTATAACACTTTGGCGATCTTTATTCCATTCAGTAGCATGCTGGAACCTCTTCCCTTAACTGGGATATAGTCTCCATTGGGTATGACGACCGGTGTCTCGCCATTGGCTCCAACCCTGTCTTCGAGTAAATCATCATTCCTAGTCATGTGTTCAGTCGCACCTGTGTCAACAATCTAGGTTTCACACTTATCAATTTTACCTGCCATGTTAGTTGTAGCTTTGTTTACTTCGTTGGAGAAGTGCTTGATCAGCTTCTGATATTGTTCACTCGTGAGACTTGGTATTGGACTCGAATCAGCGTCAGCCCATGTCGCCTTGGGCTTTCCCTTTTCTTTCTTTCCTTTTCTTGGCCACCACTTCGGGTAACCATATCTCTTGATACAGCCCTACCAATTGTGAACGTCCTTGCCGCAGAAGGTGCAGTGTTCGATCTCTTCCCCGCTGTTGTGCCTTGTGTCTTTCTTCGTTCCTATGTTTCAATGTGCAGTCAAATTATTTGGCACCTCTCGTCGGTTCTGTGAAAAGCTTTGAAAAACAGTAGCCTCATGTGTAGGTTTCTTTGTCGCCAAGATGGCCCTTTGTTGTTCATCTTTGGACACGAGGTGGTATGCTATTCCCAACGTGGGAGTTGGTTTTGACCCAAGGATCCGTGTCTTTATGGTCGAGAATATGCCATCAAGCCCCATCAAGAATTCGTAAAGCCTCTCGTTTTCTTTGGCTTCGTTCAATCTCTTTCCCAGATCACATGTGCACTTACCACAAGAACATCTAGGGATCGGCGAAACAGATTGAATCTCGTCCCATAGTTCTCGCATCTTCATGTTGTAGGCCGATACAGAGTCTCCATCTTGTTGCATCGTGGTAAGTGCTTGCTTCAGTTCGTAGGCTCGAGATGCGCTTTCCTATCCAAAACTTTCTTCATGAATAGCCCATATCTCTGCCGCTGTTTTGGCATATTTTATGCTCAACCTGATTGTTTTCTCCATGGCTGTGGTGAGCCATCCCTTGATCATGGCATCACATGCATCCATGTCATGTATTTCAGTGAGTTTTCTTTTGGTGTCTTGATTTGCCCGTTCACAAATCCTATCTTGTTTTTTGCGAACAAGAAGTTATTCATCTCCTGTGCCCAATTTCCATAGTTTCTGTTTGTGAGAACGTCATTTATGTGCATTTGTCTTGGATAATATGATGCATGTAGATAGTATGGTGAGCTGGTGTCGACACAGGTATCGTCGGCTTTGTTTATGTTTTCGTCATCTCCCATGATTCTGACGGCGGCTTAGGGTTTGTTGCATGGTCTATATGACCCGCTCTAATACCATAAAGAATTTGGTGACCAGAAATTCGATTATTCATTAAGGTCAAAAGGAATATAAATATACCAAACGTTCACAAGGAAACAAGAGATAAAAGAGGATAGTATATCTACAAGAGGAGAGGATTGTTACAATTATGGATAGACACAAAGTATGGAATATATATGGAAAATTCTTTAAGGTCTTGTGTTCAAGTTTTTATTGCAAATTTTTTTAGAAACATAATAAATCTGAAATTAAAAGCTAAAAACTAAGAAAATGATACTAATAGGTTTCAAACTTGGGTATGAAATGAAAGAAAACCTTGCAAACCAACTCTACCAAGGAAAACTTGTATCCTTATTGTAGTTTCAAAATATATATGGTGATACACAACAAATTGATACGGTTTCAGTTTTCACGAACCTAAATTTTTTTACACTACAACGGAGGAATGAAATAGTGGCATGTGCCACCACAACCACTATACTAGGCTCGTCCATGTTGGAGCCATGCGTGGGATAACGGCTAGAGTTTTCTTCGAAACATAAGTCTTTTCTAACATGTCAACTGCAAGTTTTGGCCATAGTGAATTGGATGCTACCCATCAATGGATTGTTTAATTGACTAAGCAAAGTAATAAAGCCCAACAGGAAGCCACAACTGCAAGACAAAGAATCTCGAAATTGTAACATCAAAATCCTCCGACCCAACATCACACCTATCAATATTTGTTGGATCTTCTATGTTCCAATCACCAAATACCAATCATCTAAGCATGACATCTTTATATGACCAATCTCAGTAAGGCAACTTGTGATCTCAAATAAACCACAAATTTATCCTCCACAACTACCTATATCACCTATTTGGTCCTTCCTGCGACCAATCAAACTGCGACTATTATTCCAAGATTTGCTACATTTCTTACATTAATTATCCCGACTAGTCAACGCATCCCCTCTCAAGGAATTTCTGAAATCCACGACGACGTTGGTTCTTCTCAAAGAAACGATATTCATGCAACAACTAGAATCACTAGCCAAAGTTTAGGATACGTGTGCTCTATCATCTCAATATCTCTGACTAACGTATTGAAACCCAAAGATAATTATGTGACTCATCGTCCAAAAATGTTAGAGCATAAAAATAAAGAAGTTTTATACATCTTATGTAAGATAATAGGTGCACCCATTCCAATTGATGTTAAACCCGATAGGATTTCAAGCCACACCTTTTGTTGACCACATAGCTTCAGTCGACGTTCCTAAGAAGTACAACATTCTGGCTTTTCCACCAAGTAATATGACAATGGATGGATGACATTATGTTTAACACATACTTTAAACAACAAGTGTCCTCTAAGCATTGAAAACCAGACTTAAAGCCAAAAATCAATTCTCGATAAAATAATGACGCCAAGTTTGAAAACTAAAAAGAAGTCTACCTCAACTCCAAAAATATCATATTCAAATGGTGCAATAAAGACATGATCAATGCGTCCAATCTATTAACGTTGTTGTGAGATGGCCTAAACGTGATAGACTTGATGGCCAAAAAGATAAATCTAAGTGATCTGACTTTCATCAATATCATGGTAATGGGGACCGATGATTGCCTAGGGGTCGTTTACCAAACGCTTACCTGGGTAAGAGAGCTTATCAAGTCATATTATCTTACAGGATGAATATGGTAATGTTGGTCCCTAAAGGGTCTACAAGATAAGACACAGTTTGTAGAAGGGGGGGATGAATACAAACACAAAGTTTTCAAATTTAAAATATATATTGATAGAGAAGATCAATACAGATTTTACAAGATTGTTTGCAGAAAGATAAGGTAAAGAAAACCTATCTAAACAACCTTTGGTTACACACAAATCTTTAGCAAATACAAGAAAAGATAATKCTAGAAAATAAAGATCTTTTACTTAAGCAAGGAGAGGCTTGAAGTAAGAATAGGATAGCAGAGAGATGCGCACGTACATGCTCTCTTACATGGAGAAGAAAACACTTCTATTTATACCCAVTGCATTAAATGAACATTTAATGCAGTAAGGTAGGGTTTAGAGTGTGTGTCAAGCCTTAAGAGGAAGGCTTGTCCTTTGCTATAGTGAATAGTACAAAAGCACTATTCTTGAGCAGGCATCCTTGCCTAAAGTTGGTGGACAAAGAGTTGACTAATCGGCTCCGTACCGTACTAACTTTAGTAAGGGTATGGGTTTGTCCTTTGTGTGCAAAAGGACAAGACAACAACAATCGTGCTAAGCAAGCTTCCTTTGATCGCGGAATGCTGGAATGACCTGAAGGTCTCATCATCATTCGCTGAAGCTAGAGCAGTCTTCACACATATGTAGAAAGGTTCGTAGTCACTGAATACCGCTTCAGATCACGTACTCGCCAGTTTCTAATCTTCAGTTTTAGTCTTCGACATTCGCTGAAGGTTYTTTGGTGTGAGTGTTGTCTTCTTGAAGTATTGTTTGTCTCTGAGATTTACAAAGCAAGCTCTTCAGCGGTCACTGAACATACTCAACGTATGATCGCTGGAACTGAAAATACAGAAACAAAATTACATCGATAGATAAAAGGGATTATCATCAAATCACTGAGAGAGAGGATCAACAATCTCCCCCTATTTGATGATAATAAGATAACATAAAGAAAGTTATCTTATCAAATAATAGTAAGGAAAAGTTACATATAACGTGTATGTCTCTTTTTACTATTTTGGGATCTTTTTCAGTTTAGTCAGTCTCAGCTTGAGAAGTTTTCTTAAGTTATATCKAAGAAAATTACAAGTACGGAAACTGAAACTGAAAGCTTGTTCACTGACTTATAGACTGTCAGCGAACGAGAAAAGTAACACTGGAACTCATAGACTTGTGTCTCTATTACTTTTCTCAGGGATCTTTTTCAGTAAGGCACATGGAATACTCATTTTATTAATCAATGGAAATAATACAAGTATTACARTACATGTTCAGAATTTACAGAAATGTAAATACAATCAATAAAATAAGATATAGAAAAAGAATTACAAGGAAAAGTGGATTGAAGATACATAGAATTCCTTAATCTAAAACACTTAGATCTATGTACAAAGGTACATCTTCACCAAGTTTTCTTCAACGTTGGATTTCTCTTCGAATCTTCAGATCGACGACTTTTCCAGGCATGCTGTCTTCTATCCATAGCAAGAGATAAAACAAGTGATCAACTGGATAGAGATGCAGCTCTGACATTCTCTGAAATCTGACTTCACCTTCTTAGTCAAGGAATATAACTCTTTAGTCAGGTTTAAAATGCACAGAGTTGGATGAAAAGGGACCCTTATCTTGCAAGTCAAGATTCAGCATAGAAATGTCAATACTCCTACGACCCTTCAGGACGTCTTCTAAGGAGAACCTTGTTTCATGTTCGTTCCTTAGGAATGGTCCTTCATTAGGATCAGGGAGCTTTATTTTTCTTCTTCCCACCTTTCTTTAGAGTTGGCCGGTCAGGGACCTTGACATACCTGGACATCCTTTTGATGAGCTCGTTGATGGTGTCCTCRATAAGTGTCTTGTGTCTCGACTTGGATTGCTGAATGGCTTGTCTGATCTCCATCSATTCGCTGTATCCATATCGGCCAAGGTAGGAAGGATACTCGGTAACGGCTTCAAGATTATCYMTGGTGATGAGCATTGAGACCAGTGTTCCACCGTCTTTGGATCGTCCG